TTTGAATATCGTTCGCATGCCCTATTGTTCCTCTATCGAGCTTCATGTTCCGAAAAGCATCATTCAGTGTTTTCAGCAAAGGGGTGTGCTGTTTGCCGTTCATCTCATAAAAAGGAGGTGGGCCCGGCGTAGGCCGGGCGTCCGACTGTCTCTATGTATAGACCAGTGATTTCGTAGGCACAACGAAGAGTGCGAATGTCAAGTGAGCGTGGTGGGGAAACAGTTATCAAATGGGAAGTGAACCGATACTGTTCATATTGGTCCTTTAACAAGTCGTAAGTAAGCGTTAGTAGGCATGTGGTGCGCGCATTAGCGTGCGTAGCCCAACTGGTAATATATAACACTAGGTCAAAATATATAATAGTAGGAATAATATATAATATCAGGTCTCCTTGATGGAGTACCACTGATTTTAATTTGACATATGTCAGCCGAGCGTTCTCCTTGAACTGTATCTTCGTTTGGTTGCTCCGCAACTCGACCTTTTCTCCTGCTTCATTAAGTTCAGCAAACATAGTCTCAACTTTCGCAACGCTGCTCGAAAAGAGAACGATGTCGTCCGCAAATCGGAGATTAGAGAGGACTCCTTGATCGACCAGTGATCGACCAGTGCTGACAGGACCGCATTCGTTTCCAAGCTGTCAAAAGCTTTTTCATAGACAACAAAGGTAAGGACAATAGGCATTTGGAATTCTCACCACACTTCGATGACCACTGCGACCGCCTGAATGTGGTCTAAGCAGCTGAATCCCTTCTCTACAGGTTAAGCTTCATCCAACGTTCGCGATATGCGGGTAAGAATGATTTTCGTAAACAGGTTCTGAAGCACCCTCAACAACTTATTGAGCGGTAGTTGAGAAGATTATCCCGATCTCCCTTCTTGAAAAGAATGACCACCCCGAAGAAATGCCCCGCTGGTTGGGTATCCTCTACTTCTAGAGGTAGGATGTCATGTGTGTTGCGAGATGCACATGTAATTCCTTACTACCTACACGGAAAAGGTTGGCTGCGATTCTGTTGGAATCTGGAGTGTCCTTTTTCATGCTCGCTTTCGCTATCCTCAACTCTGATGGAAGGATCCGAGGTGCTGTTCCGCTAGTGGGAATTTTTGGTCTCGCACGTGGGTCGAAGAATGGTATACCTCCGTCTCATGTAATATGTGTATTGTTCGATGTTATAAGAAATTCGTGCTCGTTTTTTGAACAAGAAAGTGGAATACTGTGGTTCCGATGACATTTTTTCCACACAAGTTTTGTTCAAGATTGCATCCCGCAGCCTCCTCTTCCTTCATATCTGAAGGTCTCGCTGCACTGTTCGTCTGGGGCTGGCATTTGCTTGTAGCCTTTCAAAATGCGTGGCCTTCTGATTAAGCTTCAAGTTTCTTGCATCTTAAATACTAGCNGAGGTATCTACATATAAGGAAGTTAGGCCTGCTAGGCTTAGGTGTGTAGACCCCAAACTAGCGTATCGTAATCATCGGTCAGGTTCTCCATGACCTGCCAGTCAAATCAGGACGAAACGGCTTTCAGAAATATTTCCGTCGTATAAACATGCTTCAAACTCTTTGCGCGATGTTCAGAGATCTTTTCCAGCTTGTGATTGGATATGACCTTAGTGCGAAGGATTCGATGATTAAAAGCACTGCAGTACGGTGGTACCACACCAGGCTGGTAAGCACCACTTTCTGTTCGTTAATATGTGGTCCAGCTTCTCGTGAGTTGGACGTTTGGAGACTCCCATGCCTAGCGGCGATGTTTCTCCTTCTGAAAGAAAGAGTTGCTGTGGAAGTCGAGTCGAGTCGAAGACAGAAGTCCAGCTAGACTTTCCTATCCCTTATATCGAACATTCCAATGCTGAAACCTTCCTCTGATGCTTAGCACTAAAATCTCCATCAACGAACTTGTAGAAGGACCACTCTTTGTGGACAATTTTTTAAGGTGATCGTAAACGCAGCGAGCTCTACTTCTGAGGTGTGAAGTGTGGCGAATAGCAGTTTACGATAGATGTGGTCTTCAGGTGCCCATGTTGTAGGTGTGGGATGGCGAAGCAAGGAGACACGTCTTTGTGAGAATCGGCGATATGGGCGACAGAAAAGTGCACGACAAAACCAACGCCACCGACACTTCGCGATTGAAAGATGATTAGGGTTTCATGATTCATTTGTCTTACACCGATGCTCTTGTTTTCTTGCAGCGCAATCACATAATACTTGATGTGACTACCAGCTTCGAGAAAACTTATGAAGAGCGTCACTGAAATAGACTGCTCTCACGTCGTGTTTATAGAAAAGAAACAGTCTCCATGTCGTACAGAGGGGGAGCTGTCGTGGTCCGATATCCAATGCATCCTGCACCAACCGAGTTTTCTTTGCCTCTCACCGATTTCCATACCGTCCGACGCCGGAGACGGCTAAGCCCAGCTAATGAGGCTGTTTTATTGCTGCTTCAGCAGGCTTGCTCCTTGGAGTCTAAACGCTGCATCACCATGGCCGGTACTAAGTCCCTCCGTTCCAGAGTGGCTACAGTCACTCTCGATCAGAGGAGCTGAGGTAGCCCGGTCCAGATCTCTAACAGGAAATTGATATGCTGCCTTTCCACCGTTCCCGCCTCCACTTGTTCACTTGATTAGTGGCGGATAAATGTGGCTTGAGGTACGAATCTTAATCTTACAAATAGGAAAGGTTTCTCATTGGTCACACAGGAAGGACGCTGCCGGGTCCAGAAACTCATAAGCTAGGGCATAGTGGGAGCCCCGCTACCGGATCGCCCGTATGCCCCGCCCTTAAATCGATGTCACGTCAAAGAGTGTGGAGGCGATACAGATTGCAATGCTCGTTCTAGCGCCCACGCACAATCAGCTGATCGCCGAGTAATTAGGCGAAGTTTTTTTTCCTATTTCTTATTCTCCGTTATTCTTTTGCTGTTGCGATGCTTTACTTATTTTCTATCTCAAGAGGCTAAAAAAGGTGGGCTACTTTTGCTGCTACTAGCGTGTTTGTTAACTTATGCTTATGAGTGAATTAATTTCAAAGAACATTTTTGCTTACTGTAGTCAGCAATTCGCATCAGGATCCACACTTACGCAATGATACATATTTTATTGCTCGTCCAAACACCCACGCTTTTACATTTTTCTGGTCTTCTTCTCGTTCAATTTTTTCGAAGCCCATTATCACTTTGGAAACACCGATTCGCGCACTTTCTTCGCCTTCATAAAAGTATTTATGGAACAAAGCGGTTTTCCCTTACCAAGTTTGTACGAGGTATCTTTCAAAATTTGCTCGAAGTTTCCTACAGTCGATGCCTTTTTCGATGAAGTGGGCAGGGATCGAAATATTGACGATACGAAAACATACAGATAGCGCCAGCGAAATGTAACAGATTGTCCATCGATAAACACTTCAGGTCTACTGATACTCGGTGTTCTTCACTTACGAAATGAAATGTTATCTTCTTCCTCATCGACATACGTTTCGGTCGGTTCCAAAGAGTGCACAGAGCATGACCAGTCCGAGTCATCCCCGTAACCTATAATTCTTATACACACGATTTCGAGAACTCTTTGTTCTCATCATTGAATTATATTTTTCAAGCAGAAAGGGTAAGCTGGACTTCGGTAGGTGAATGTTAGCTGAAGGCTCAAGCCCACGCGGGCTGTTTCTTAGCAGAAATCACTACTGGCATTGCACCTCGATTGACAGGCAGCCTCTTCTTCGAAAATAATAGATATTTCCTATACTTTTGCGGTTGGAATAACAATACCGGAACTCATTATCATTTAAGCACCAATCGATCGCTCTGCTGACGCCGGGCTCCTCTCCTATACTTGTTCATGAATAGATGCCTGTCTTGCACGCGATTGTAAATAACCCAACAACATCAAATGCACTTGAAACCCAACTTTTAAACTTTCCACAACAAAATTAAAGAGAATCCAGCTCGAGTACCGCACAGCTTTTAGTGATTCTAAGGCATTTTCCACAAGGCAGTTCCTTTGTCAAATCCTGACAAGTATACTCACCCTCAGAATCCATATGGTGCTGCTTGTGATCACTAATGCAACAATGAACCTCACCCGTCTCCAAAGAACGAAATCACCACCAACTGATTTCATGTGCTGATACGCATCATAGAAAATCAATTGAAACTTGAAGATCAGTCTTTCATTTCATCATCCTGAATCTGCAATATTATCCGTGGGTGCCGTTAGATGAAGTAGTGCGGGAATAAAAATGAGACTAAATTGAAGAAGAACGAATAAAAAATCAAGTGGTATCTGACGTGGTGATGGGCAGATAAAGGGTCTCGCTGGAAGTTTCTAAGGGCAAATTTTTTTGGTCACTCCAATGCTAAACCGTTCGGAAGTTGGCGAATGTGATAACTGGCGAAGCACGTATCATACAGCCGCTTTATGTATATAAAGTGAAATAACACGTATACTGATAGTTGGAATGAAGGTTTCCTAAGGGCTTTATTAATGTAAGAAGCTACCAAATATTCTGTCCATAAATTTCTGCATTTCATTCGTCGAATAATGGATGAACTGCATTGCATAAGGGTCTACGAGCAAATCAAACAGCGAAAAGGAGCGGGATGACTGAACGTTTATTACCTTCAGCTTCTCTAAACCAGTAATGGTTAAGATGACAAATTATTAAACAAGTCTTGAACACCGTACAACATACCCATACAGCAGTAGTTCCAAAAGTAAAGCTACGATGAGAGTTGGGCAGGTAAGTTCTATTAGTAAAAACGTTGTTCAAAATCCAGAGCTATAATGCACAACGGAAGGTAGAATGAGAGAACTAAGTTGTGAATGCTGACATAGCAGGAGAACTGGCACGGAAAATTAATCGTCATTTTTCAGTTAGATATTTAGATTTCGGGTGGTAGGGTGCACATGTCGTACGCCTATCCTGTCAGCCCTAGCAGAGCTCATCGTGATTCCGAAAATATCCCCGGCATGCTTGAAGAGCGGCAAGCTTTCCGCGTACTCGCTATTCAGAGTGTTTCTTCTGTCCCATAGACAAGTCTGTCGACCACGTCTGAGCCCATAGTAAAGCTATGATCCTGGTTAGCTGCCTCGTATCGCCAGCTGCCAAATCTGAATTGAATAATATTACAACAAGCCGGTTTGCGGATTTTGCATTTACTCTGCTGGGCTCAAATAGCCGTCGCACTATTTTTCGACCCTTCCCAGGCCTATACTCACTAAGAATGAGGGGGTTATGTGTCTTGAATCGAATTCATGAATACGCATCTGCCCTCGCAACTTATGTAATGGTCAGATGAGTTTGATTTAGGCCAATGACGGTTTAAAAAACAGCTCCTGATTGAACTGAAACTATCTTGAAAATAATAATACTAACAAGATTACAATAATCAGTACCGTAGCACTAATAAATAATGGACACTTATCAGTAGTATCACTACGAAGCCCCCGCTCCTGTGAAAGAGCGCAGTCAAGCAAGAAAATTTCTTAGCCCAATAGTCAACGTAAGTGACGAAGGAACTCTTATTGCTGGCCATTTTTAGCCACCAACTAACGCGAGCATGTCATTATCTGAGCTTTGAAAGATACGTTCAGTCATTTTAATTTGCTAATGGGCCACTGGTCCATAGATAGCCACTCTTTTCTCTTTCCAACCACTTTTTAACTTGTCAATTGAACAATTTGTTCCAAGTTCTCGAACGCAGATAGCAATAAAATATGTGGCACAGAGCGAGCACAACAACAGAAAAAAGGAACCTTCCACGAGAGTAGATGTTCGCTGCTTCGAGTGACTCGTGAGCCTTTTGTAGTTCCCTGTCGCGGTTCAATGTTGGAATCGGATAGCCATACGGAAGCACGTGCAGCCATGTCGACTCTATTCTGCTTGTTGGATAGATTATGCCGTGCTCTATGAGATCTGAAAAGGAATGGAGTATAGCGGCAGAAGCGCAGTAAACATTTTGGAGTGAAAACCGAGCCGATTGACCACCCATCACTATTTGAACTGGTTGTTTAAAAGTTCTTCTCAGCTGTAGCATTTACGAGACCGTGGACTCTTTATCTTTCGTATCTTCTGCGCAAATAAAGTTTACTGAATACATCCTCCAATAAAAACTCAAAAATTCAAAACTATACAAGCATTGGGTTATCAAGTGAAGAAAGGCTCCTAATTGTCCCACTTGTTCCATTCAGTTGTTCTGCGGCTCTATGAATGCTCACCTTTGATAGTGCAATCAATCACTGTGTGCTCATTGACGTCTTCGTCGGAACTCATTCCAATTTCTACAAGAACTGACCAAAAAAGTACTGCATTTGGTGTGAGGCGTTCGTTGAAGTTGGACATAAATGTACATCTAGAGCATTGTATCATTTTGTCATTCAGTTGAAATTGCTTGAAAATAATCGCTCAACACAAAATCAGACCTATAAAAAATAATGTCAGGCTGAGGAAAGTAAAGCCAGGAAAGTTGTTCCGTGAATTCTGGTTGAGGTCGACGCATCCCGATTCCGACAAGGACAACCTAAAAATCATATAGATAAGTAAATAGACGGAAGAAACAAAGGAACTTTCCGGTAGAAAGTTTATAATCAATGAAGTTGGTTGGGTGTCTTCTGTTAAAACTTCCAAAACAGGGTTGCCATATTAGGCTTTTCACCGTTCTAAGACCGCCCGGCACTCATTAAATTCATTTGGATGAAACTTGAGATGCAGAAATGGAAAGAAGGCCAACAAGTACTAAAACACCGAAATGCTTATGAACAAAAGATTGATGAAACTTCTCGGAAGCATTTCTTATTTGATGGTCAAAGCGTTTTTGTTTGGAGATATAACAGCTGGTGATAATTTTGTGACCGCTACTAGCAGCGACCTAACGCTCCTACATGAAGACTTCATTCATCCATTTCGATTAGCTCCACCTTTGAATGGCTCAAGCTGATCTTCGGGCAAAGCGAAGTTATCCTGCCCAACTCCACGATAGGCATCGTTGATATCACGTAGTCGTATTCGCTCGCCTTTCCGTTGCTTACGTGAACCTGAAAGAATTCTGAGTGATCCGATACTGCTAATCGAACTGGGTGACAGTTTGATTCGCGACATGGTCAGAAGCTATGTTTCATTTGCAGTTGAACCGTGCTGTAAAAGTAGAAGAATACTGCACAGTGAACTTGTGGCTACCGCTCATGTTGGAGACTTCATGCTAGAGCTGAGTGCGTCTGGGAAAGCATTTTATGCGAACAAAGATCAATATACGCGACGAGAGAGATGCTCCCATAGAAATCAAAGAGTCAGTCTGGGCCGTGGTGCGAAATGGACACGAAATTACTGTAGTGATGGGATTTGGCTGGTAAGAATTTCGTATTAGCGCCAGGGCACCACGCAAATTCTAGTTCATTTTTCGCTTTTCAAATGTATGTTGACAGGAAGGAAGTCTTTGGTAGTTCTGCTATTTGAAATCCTGGTTATATAACCTATGCTCAAACTTATGGAGCACTTTTACGATTATCCAAGACGACAGACAATGGAGTCCAGGAGCAATCTGGGACTACAGCCTAAAGAAAGTTTGTGGGCCAAGGTAAGCGTTTCCTCTGTTGTGTGGCCCTCAATACAGTTCGGGCATGCTCTAGGGAATTTTCCTTTTATTTCCTAGACCGAATTTCATGGTTGCAATGCATACTGTTTGATTTTCCAAACCAAAAGATATGCAGTAACATGAGGATCAACCCAGACAAAAACTCATTTTCTTACTTCTATTACTCTCTAGCGANNGGAGGGGGAGACATGGCCTACCTTACTTGAAAGGTGAGGAACTTAGAATGTCTTCTCTTGCGGAGGTAGTCTAGGTATAATTTCATGACGTTTTTTTCGGAAAGTCGAACGGTGCACATTGCCATCATTAAATGCGAATACAACTGATATTTAGGGAAAGCCTCACCATTTTCGCTTTTGTATCAATCCTGATCACAGAAGAACCAAAATGAAACCAGTGGGATGGCAACTCGGACGCTATCGCCTTCCAAACATCACCAATTCCGCGACAGTCTCTCGGGTACCTTAATTGTATATTGGGTATGGGCAATATGCTCTCAACATTCTAAACCATTCAACGAAACTGCACTAACCTAAACACTGATTTTGTTTTTGCGCTATCTTCCTGGTCGAGTTCATCACGTGTCAACCTACAGCGTCTCGTCAAGTCCTCGATATTGGTCCTTGGGACCCGATTTTCTACCCAGACACAGTTCATCTCATCAAGGGTCACGGTCCACACCTTAAGCCCACTAAATCATCGCCAATGTCTCTAATTACGAGGCTTGACAAACCTTCTCGTTGTATGGTCGAATAAAAATTGCTTGCAGTGTTTCTCCAAAAGTATTTGCTGTGAAATCGTCGAAGTTCTCTGCTTTCTTGGAGGGAACCGCTTGCGAAGAAATTTCGTCCAGACACCTCAGTTTTACTTCTTCTGGGAAATACGGTATCGAATCTTGCACAGGGTATGGGACGTAGTTCGCCTCCACGTTATCGTCGTCTTGGATCACATGCCTCATGTATGCCTGGCATATAGAGATTTCATAGCCACCAGATTTTACAGTTGAACTAAATGCTTGAAAAAACTTATCCCACATTTCATCAGTATCATATAACCCCTTCAAAAATCACAACTTTCCACCTTCCCACCATAATCGCAAAAAACAATAAAGATTCATGACCTTTAACACCAGTTATAGTTATAAGAGCCGTATGATACCGGGAGGAATGCCCAGTCCAGCCGAAGATGAGAGATCAGGGAGTGCAAGGGTATGGACTGGTGTTGGGAGCAACGGAATAGGAAGCGCGAGGGAAGCAACTACAAATAGCCTCAACGAATTTGTGATGGGACGCACGCAAGTAAAGAGAACCCTAGAGAGCAGAATACGCTGTAGATGGGAGGAGATGGCTACGCAAGCAAAGCTGACGGTGCGACGGTGTGGGATTCGAAGGAAGAAGAAGAAGGAAAGGAAGGCAATTTTCAAAATGCCGTCGCTTTCGGGATTCTCTAAACGAAACGATTTTGACTTACAAACAAAACGATTTTGTCTACCAGCTAGCATGACGTATCCTAGAAGAAATGATGGTGAGGGGTGGGGAGGGGAAGGTGGGGAGGGGAGAAGGTTTCTTGGGGGTATCATCATTTAAACATTAGTCGTAGCTTTTTTGTAAATACTCGGCCTAATAGCTCTCAGATTGGGGTTTAGAATCACCTAAATGGGTAGCAACGTCCTTCTCATACTACCAGTAATTCTCCCACTTCTTCAAGTGGTAAAAGAGATGAAGGGGAGAAAATCTCAAAATAAACTTAGAACATACATACCTTCACACATCGAGGCACGTTGTTCCAGTGGCGCACAGTTCGATTCAATAAATGTGTGAACTTTGGATATTTTGAATAACCTGCAATCATTAAACAGCCTCTTCGAAAATTATACGTAGACCTATATCTATTAATGTATAGCGCGCATGTAGGCTTAGGCTCCCCATCCCCGCAGAACAAAAAGTAATGAGGGCAATATGTTAAGCTTTTGTCGAGAGCGAACGGTAAGGTTGGATCCCAGTACTTCGGTTTGCTCACTATGTTTGAAGCCAACAACATTGTTGACTATACTCAGTAAAGTGCGAAAGTGTAGAAAAGCACCGCCACGCCACCATTTTTCTATCTTTTTCGCCCTGAGATTAATAGTATATCTGTTCTCAATTTTCAACATTTTTACTACACATAGATAATCTTAAAAGCTTTTTCCAACTCACCAGTAACATGCACACCTAGATCCCAAGTGAAGCCTCGTCGATCGGTCACCGAACGGGCTAATCCGCCTACTTCGATTTCCTTTTCGAGCACAGTGACCTGCAAAGAAGTGGACCCCTTCTTGTGTTAAAAAAGCATCCTAATTTACTGACCTGCGTAGATGACGGTAATTCACCGTTTTGAATGAGTTCGTGCAGCCGATAGGCAGCTCCCAGAGCAGTTGGACCACTTCCAATTATCACGAACCTCTTCCCTTTGCTGTGCTCCATGGGATCAGTTCATTGGTATGAATTCCAGCTGTACATTCGAAATATTGAGAAGGGTCCAACACAAAAGTGGTTGGAGGCTAGCAAAGTGCCACAAACTCATAACATCACTTCCAAGCTGTCTGGAGATCTAGCGAAAAATGGACAGAGGACAGCGAAGGACGGGTGAGGGAATGTTTATGGTAGGTGAGGGATGTCCAAAGGCCGACAAAATTGAAATCGAGAACTGAGATGTGGTCCCTCGGTAGTCATGAGAACAAGAAAAGAGTACAACTTTACTACTACAGAGGAACATTACACTCTCGGGAAGAAGGGATGCTCGAGGCGGGCTAATCTACAAGGGTCCGCTTTGGGACAGGACTTGAGCGGAGTGGGTGGCTTAGTTCAATGTGGCTAGAAATGCGAAAATATTAATAAGTGAGCCGGCCTTCGATTTTGATTTCTATCGATTCAATCTATCGATTCTCATGCAAAAGTGAAAAACGACTCATGATATCGAGCATATTTGTGGCCAATGAAGTTAAATAAATTGAACAGTAGCGTCAACTTCATAAGTTTTCAAAAGGCAATTGGAAATACTGCAATCCTCTTCCT